TTGAAATTCAAATAAATTCAGGTAGCTAAGTGGCACAGTAGATAGAGTTCTGGTCTTGTAGTCAAAAGGACCTGAATTCAAATCCAGCCTCAGATACTTGATACTTACTAGCTGTGTGACCCTGGGCAAGTCACTTAACTCTGTTTGCCTCACCAAAAACCAAAAAAAAAAATCAAATAAATTCTTTACTAGATTAACAAGAAAATGGTGCAATTTATGAAACTGTGTAATGACCAAAGAAGTAACATTGGATTGCTTTTTAATTGACAAGTCCAACAGTACCACAGCATTTACATTGTGTATTCAGAGATTCATCACCTTAGAAAAAGGAATTGATGAGGTGTAAATGATTCTTTACAAAACTAATGCTTTGATATTTTTTCTATAATGGTATATCAAACATTATGTTGCTATATGAATAAGCAGGTTATGGCACAATGGCTTAATCATTCCTTATAGATTATCAATTAAAATTCCTAATTACATAATTTTTTTCTAATAGGTCTCATTTCCCTTTCTGGTTGGTTGATAATTCAACTTATCCTTCAGTGCCTGGAGTTAATATGTCTGAAACCTCACAACACTTGGTTTCAGAGAATCCCTGTTCAAGTCTCAGCTCTGTCAACTATGGGGCTGTGTGGTCTTTAAGCAAATCACTTCCCTTTTCTGGATTTCAAATTCCTCAGATATAAAATGAGGTCGTTAGTGTAGAATAGGTCTGTAAAGTCTCTTCAGATAAATTCTGTGATTCATCAAAACTGAAATACAGTCAAGTTCTAAAGTTCACTGGACAAGAATGAATCACATGAGACCCAATGTCTGTGGTAGATATTGGTTCCTGCAGTTGGATGAAATCCTGGGTAGTTTTAGTAGCTGCTGAAAAAATATCAGAAGGTTAAGATTGTCTTTCCTACCCTTCCTGCCAGCATTAAAGTAACATTCTAACATGCTTTTTTTGCTCTCCAGGAATAACTATTAGAGCATTTTACATTTTTGGATTTGGGTCAGAAAGAAATGCTCTTAAATACTACTGTATTGGCTAGAACATGAAAACCTTTCCACAACAAAAGGGATGTTACTACGAAATAGGGTTAGAAGGAAGGTCTAAATATAATGGGGGTTTATGCTATATTGTTGAATTGGACTGACCCAGGGGTTGTTGTGGCTAGTATAGCAGCCAAAAATGAGTATAGAATAACATTATATAATGAAATACGATTGTCTCTTACCCAAATGTCCATTCCATCAGACATTAATGAATCAAATATGTCTAACTACATACTTTCCAAATGTTGACCTAATACAGTGCAAGAAAATTCATTCATTATGTGTTTAAAGGACTGGATACAAACAAACAAAACAAAACAAAACACCCTATGATTTTTCATCAATAGATCAATGAATCAATGAAACTTATTAAGGGTTTCTTATGTCCCAGGCATTGTGGATAGAAAATACAAAAGTGAAATAGTCTCTGCCTTTAGGAAGCTTCAATTATTTATGTGTTAGGAGAGAAGAAACAATTGGCATGCAGATTATAAATGTATGTATGTATGTGTCCATATACATACATACACGCATATGCACACAATAAATCAAAGTGATTTAAGTGAGAACACTAGTTGACTAGGGACCATGGGAAATCTCATGTTGGAAGTGGACTGAGCTTTGAAAGAATCTAGGGTTTCTAAGTGGTAGAGGTGAGAGAAGAGAGAGTATTTGAGATATGGAAGAAAGCCTGTAAAGAAACAAAGAGATGGGATATTGAATACTGTCTAATGAGGAACAGCAAGGGAGCTAGTATTGTTGTATTAGAGTAATATTTTAAAGCTCACATACTTCACTTAAATTAAAATGTTCATTTTTTTTGTCGGTGATAACCAAGAATAATGGTAATTCATGGAAAAAGAAAAAAATTATTGATTTCATTTATTTATTTCGCTAGGCAATGGGGGTAAGTGACTTGCCCAGTGTCAAACAGCTAGTGAGTGTTTTGGGTCCAAGGCTGGATTTGAACTCAGGTCCTCCAAAGTCCAGGACTGGTGCTCTATCCACTGTGCCACCAAGCTGCCACAAAATTCTTGATTTTAGAGCATATGTCTTTAAAGTTTCAAAAATGTTCAAGTTTGACTATATTAGTCCTATATAAATCAGTCTTTTTTTTTTTTGTTCTTTGCTAGGCAATGGAGTTAAGTGACTTGCTCAGGGTCACACAGCAGTAAGTGTCAAGTGTTGGAGGTCAGATTTGAACTCAGGTCTTCTGGACTCTAGGGCCAATGTACTATCCACTGAGCCACCTAGCTGTCCCTAAATCAAACTTTTAAAATAACATCAACAACAATAATTTCCCCCAAAACTGGGTGGAACAAAACAAAGTTTACCAGAATCTAATCTCCTGACTCCAACTCTCTGGGGATATAGCTTTCCCAATTTTCTGCTAAAGCATCTGCTTTTTTTAAGGGTCTCTACAGAGAACACATAGGTCAATATTTTTGTCCAGATAGATTGATGTTGTCCTACATCCTGCATTGATTTATAGTCTGCAATGCTATCTTCTTCCTAAGCACAGAGATTATTCTGCTATTATATAATTCAGATATGAGAAAGAGAAATCTCCCAACCCACCCTCTCCAAATGAACAAAGTGAGGTTTGAGAATTCTTCTTGGAATTCTTCTCAGATTCCAAGAGAGAATTCGGGTGCTGCTCCAAGGCTGAATTAATTCAGTTTCACTAGTCCATGAGATTATTGTACTATTGCAGACTCTGATCAGGTTCTATCCATACACTCTTTGGGACCTGGTGAGTGACAAAATGGTAGGAATAGTGTTTAAAATGTCTTTGCTTTGGAAGATATTAAGAAAATGTAATTCAGGGATCCAACACCTTTCCCCTCTCCAGATGGCCAGCCAATCCCAAGATAGCCTGGCAATTTGCCTGGTACTACTGGGGCAGAGATGCAAATTAAGTAAGTGCACCTGCTGGCACCAAGTCTAGGAAAACAGAGACGGTGTCTCCCTTAACAAGAGACCAGAGCCAGATGCAGTCTGTTGAAGGAGCCGGGAAGGTCTTAGGAGACACGAGCCTACGTGCTCTGAATTCCTGAGTCACCTCAACAGACTGGACCCTGGCTGACTTCAGAGATTTTGCCATGAGTGGAAAAACCTTGGACACATGTCCTTGCCAGCTCTCCCACTGTGAACACCTGCAGGGGGTTGATCTTTCAAGGGGCCTGGGGTTTAGCTGTCACTGGGTGGTTAGTGCTGGTTCTGAGCAGGATAGAAATCTGAGTGTCCTGATGCTATTTATTTTTCCCCCCAATTTATTAATATGATTAAAGAGCTATATACAACCATACCTTTGTAAATCACCGTGAATTAAATTTGGTAGTGACAGGATGGGATAGAGAGGGAAGGAAATTACCTTAGGAATTTTTGAAATTTCAAAAGTATCAGCTCTAAAAATCATACAATTATAAAATCATATATTTAGAGCTGGAAGGGGTCTTGGAGGCTGTTGTTGTATCTTCCTCAAAACAAACAAACAAACAACAACAACCACCCAAATGTGTTCTTCGATGTCACTGAGAATAATGAATATCTTAATTTCAATGAAATGCATGTCACCCATTCTATTACTGCCAGTAGGTTGGAGGCCATGCCATGTGATTTGACTGAATAATCTACTTAAACAATAGACGTTAAGAAGCTGAGATATCATTTGTAATTAGGTAGGGCCAAGGAATAAATCCCAGTAGCTACCATAGTCAGACAGAGGCCCTGGGTCCTGTGGCTGATATCTTAGAACAACCTAGGGTGTTGGGAGGTGACATTGCAGGAGGTAGAAGTTCGGCAGGGGTACTTAGAGTTGGATTATAGTACCCCATAACTTTTCAGTTTATTACTTTAGTCATTCCAATGACAATCATCTAGACAGACTGACTTAATGGTTGCATTTCTTTTCATGGTGTGGAGTGTGCATGTTTTTCATCCACACTTAAGTGCAGTTGACTAACCCAGTCTCTTCTACATGGTTGTGGATTTTACTGAGTAGATTCTATTGTGCCTTGGGGTTCAATGCAATTAGTCTAATAATATAAGTAAGTGCATTTGAACAAACTCATTGATTGGATATCTTGTTTTTTCTTCTTTCCCCTATTCTCCATTCACACAGCCACAGCTCCAGTCCAGGCCATCATCACATCTCATATGAAGTACTAAAATCGCCTCCTAATCATTCTTTCTTCCTCTAGTTTCTAGCTTCTCTAATCTATCCTCCATACAGCAGCCACAGTGATATTCACCAAGATCAAGTGTGACCAGGTCACTCTTCTCCAAAAGTATAAATCAAACCTTTAAAACAACACCAATAACATTACTAGGAAGCCAAGTGGCTCTCTATTACCTCTGGGATCAATCAAAAAGTATTTATTAATTGCCTGACACTGTGCTAGGCACCTGAGATACAGTCATAAAAGATATTCCTTGCTTACGAACTTCTCTTTAAAACCATCACGTTCTGGCTCCTTTCTAGCTTACATTTCTCTCAGGTTTATTACACATAATTCTCCTTCAGGAATTCTGTGTCTAGCCAAATTGACCTTCTTGCTGTTCCTTAGACACTTCATCTCTGGGCTTTGGTATGAGCTGCTGTCCAATGATACGTTCTTTCTATATCTCTACCTAAATTCCTTCAAATTTTGCATCCAATACTATCTCCATCAAGAGGCCTTTCTTGATACCTCCCCCCAACTTCATATATTCCTCCTGCCCACCACTAATTATTTTATATTTATATGTGTGTGATATTTCCTCTGACAAAATGTAAGTTTCCTGATCCCAGGGAGTGTTTTATTTTGTCTCCATGTCTCTCTCACTAGGCACATAGTAGATTCTTAAAAAATGTTACAAGTGATTGATTGATTTTGTTGGACTGTAGGGTGTTTTTTATAATACTAACAAATACCACAAATGAACAGAGATGCATTTGTTGAACAACTCACTTGGTATTAAAGAGGCCATTTTCTGCTTCATTTCTTCCGTAGCCTTAATCACTGAATGGGCATCAATCAAACTGAGACCTGTTAAAGACCTTAGCATAAAGGCCAAGATCTCCCACTGCATCCAGAGCCATCTCGAGTCATCCTGATCTATATTTAACTACTGGACCCAGATGGCTCTGGAGGAGAAAGTGAGACTGATGACTTTGTACAGCCCTCCCTCCCTTACATACAATTCACTTGTATGTCATGACAACCTTTTGCTGATGTCATAATCCTCTTTGAGCACAAAGGACAAACAATAACAATTCAAACATGAGAAATAATAATACAAGTCACTTCCACTTCTATAGAGCTTTAAAGTTTGAAAAGTGCTTTAAAAATGTATCTCATTTTACATACACAAAGCAACCCAATGAGTTAGGTATTATTATTATTGTTGTGGTTTTTTGTTGTTATCGTTTTTACTATTATCATTTCATTTTACTCATGATGAAACAGGGAGGCCCAGAAAGGTAAAGAGACATGCCTAGAGTTGCACATATAGAAAATATCTGGGTTGAGATTCAAATCAAACTCATCCAGACCTCCTGTCTAAGCTGTGGGAAAAAGTGTTTAGATTGGGCTTTGTAGGGAGTCACTACACAATGTTTTCAATGACCTACATTATCTTACTGCTACATAAGCCTTGATCTTTAATACCAATATTATTTTGGTGGGAGGACAATGCAGTAGAGTGGATAGAGAACAAGTTTCAAAGCTAGGAAGACCTGGATTCAACTCCCATCTCTGAAACATACTGGTTTTGTGACCCTAGGCAAGTCATTGAAACTCTGTGCTGTAGACAATTCTCTGACTCTTTATTGTGTTCCTTACCTGACTGCTGCTGACACAATTAAAGGCAATGAAAGCATAGTTCCACTCATTATCCCTATTATCTTGGTGATGCTTCATGGCAGTAATCCATGCACATAACAGTATCAGAAGTATTGAAATTACAGAAAGAAAAAGCAAAAGCAAATAAAGGGAGAGATGTATGATGTACAAAGGTAAATAATCCATAGTGTGTTACAAATGGCAAATTGTATGTAAGAAGTGGTACAAAAAGACATTGTCAAGGGCGTGCAAAATTGGAAAAGGCTGCTCATTACAGAATAAAAGGCAACAGATGGACAGTCCTACTGGCACATTACAACCCCTGAGATATTTTAAGAATCAGAAAAAGGCCTTCAGCTGGGTGGGCAGAGATTTTGTAGATACGTATAGGAAAATGCAGAAGATATTACACAGGATGAAAAGGGTTGCAATGTGTATTAGTGGAGAGAGTAGTCATATTGATGAAATCAAGGACCTATCCAAGCACCAAAGTGCCATCAAAGACAGAGGAGATACCTTCCCAGTAGCGTTTTTTATGTACCATGTGCAACATTCTTTCACACGTGCCTCTAAGTGTAAGGGAAATATATCTGAATTTATTTGAAAGCATATTAGGAGAAGGATGAAAAACAGCCATCAACACTACATTTGCTGATGCATGTTGAAGTTGGCTCCCTTCTATTCTCAACTTTGTGTTCAGAGACACATTAGTTCCATTAACACAAAAGCTGACAGCAGGCATTTCCCAGTCACAGTCTGCATATTTTAAACCCTTTTAGTAGGTCAGGAAGAATTCACCTGCAACTTTCCACAAGTTTGAGACACAGAATATGAAATTCTATGTCAAGAAACACTCATAAAAGAGGTATAAAGAACCAGGTGAGAGTTTGGCATTTTATAAATTGTCCAAGAACTGTTCAAATAGCATCATGGTAGACAGAATGGCCTGTTATGTATCACTTAAGAAGGAGGCACCTCCCAGTGAGTGAAACCTTCAGGAAAAACATAATGCTAATGAGTTAAGCCTAAATACAGGAACAAATGCCCCAAAATATACTTGTTTTGAACTATCAGTTCCTGTCTACTAAGTAGCTGTGTGGCCTTAAAGGAGTCATTTCATTAATATGGTCTCAGTTTATTAAACTATGAAATCAAGTTTTTGGACTAGATTTTAACAATAATGCACATACCTTATTTCATCTGATCCTCACTACAATCCTGTGAGGTCGCCTCTTAGGACATTTTTATCCCTGCTTTGCAAATAAGGAAACTGTCTCAGAGAATTTAAGTGTACTGTCTATAGTATCAAGAAGTGAGATTCTATCCTAAGTTTCTCCTGTCTTTAACTGTAGTGCTCTTTCCACTATATTAGAACACTAAAGTCTTTTTCATTCTTAAAATTCTGTAAGTTGGCCTATACTTGGCATGGAAAGATTGTTGGTATCCTGTTCTTTTCAGGCACACTCTCATACCCTCTGATTCAGAAGCTTTTACCTTTTTTTGTGTCATGGACCCATTTGGCAGTCTCGTGAATCCTATGGATCTTTTTTTTCAGAATAATATTTTTAAATACATAAGATAAAGGCAATCAATCATATTGAAATATAGTTTATCTATACATCACCTATCTACATATGTAAATATACTGTTAATTTGTCCACTCTACAAATTTACCTGTTAATCTCTGTTTTCTTTCTATAATTGGTATAAACCCTCTTATGTGCAATTCCAGGGTTGGCTTGGATAGATCAATGTTGATAGTAAATGTTGATATCCATCCACAAGTCAAAACAAACAAAAACTCTAGTCAAAACGAAGAAATAAAATCTCTGCCTTCAAGTTTATATTCTATCACGGGAGACATATACATATGGGCACAAATATATAATAATCAATAAAGTTTAATTTGGGGATTGGAAAAAACTAATGGGATGAGAAAAATTATGAAGCTGACTTTTGAAGGAATCTAGGGATTCTCAGAGGCAGAGATAGGGAGGAAGTGCAATCCAGTAATGAGGAATGGTATGCGAAGGCATAGTCTTGGGAGACAGAATGTTGCACATGAGGAGTATCAAAAAATACAGTTTGGCTGGACCGTAGAGTATACAAATGCATAATACAGCTGTAAAGATAAGCTAGAGACAGATTTTGAAGGACATTAAATGACAAATCACGACTTGGTATTTTATCCCCAAGAAAATGGAGAGCCACTAGAACTTCTTGAGCAGGTGAGGGACATGGTCAGATGTGTGATTTAGAAATACCACTCTGTTATCTGTGTGGAGAGTGAATTAAATAGGGCAAAGTTTTAAGAGAGGGAAACTAATTAAGAGCTTATTGCAATTAAGAAAGCATGGAATAGCTTACCTGTCAAATCTATGGATAAAGGAAAAATTCAAATCCAAACAAGATATAGAGAACATTACAAAATGTAAAATAAAGAATTTTGATTGTATAAGATTTTAAAAAAATGTTTTTGCACAAGCAAAACCAATGTAACCACAATTAGAAGTAAAGCAGAAGACTGGGGGAAAACTGGCAGCAAGTATCTCTGATAAAGACCTGATTTCTCAAATATATAGACAACTGAGAAAAAATTTATAAGGATACAAGTCATTCCCCAACTGATAAATGGTCAAAGGATACAAACAGTAAATATTCAGGTGAAGAAATCAAAGATATCTAAGTCATATGAAACAAAATTCCCTAATCACTATTGATTAGAGAAATTAAAATGGAAACAACTCTGAAGTACCACTTCATAACTATCAGATTGGCTAACATAAAAAAATAAATAAATAAATAACAAATACTATGGAAGATATGGGAAAACCGAGACACTGATGCATTGTTGATGGAATTGTGAACTGATTCAAATATTCTGGAGAGTAATTTGGAACTATGCCCAAAGGGCTATAAAACTGTGCATCATCTTTGATCTAGCAATACCACAGCTAGGGCTGCATCCAAAAGAGATTTAAAAAAGGGGGAAAGGACCTACTTGCACAAAAAAATATTTTAGCATCCCTTTTTGTGGTGACTAAGAATTGGAAATAGAGGAGATGTCCATCAATTGGGGAATGACTGAGCAAGTTGTAGTATGTGAATGCAAGGAATATTATTGTGCTAGAAGGGTGGAGCCAAGATGGCAGAGTAGAGGCAGGGACTCCCCTGAACTCTCCTCCAAACCTCTCCAAATACCTTTAAAAATAATTCTAAACAAATTCTAGAGGGGCAGAACCCACAAAAAGACAGAGTGAAACAATTTTCCAGCCCAAGAAAACTCAGAAGTTTGTCAGGAAAGGTCTGTCACACCAGGGTAAAAGGGGATCTCGGGCCACACCAGCAAAGACCAGGCCCAAGAAAAGCTAGAACAGGCCTCAGGGCAATTGAATCAGTGGCAGAAGTAGCAGTTTCCAGACCTCCCAGCCCACAGACACCAAAGACAACTTAGAAGGTCAGAAGGAAAGGTCTGTGGCAACTGGGTAAGAGTGGGGCATAGTCTAGCATAGGGCATGCCACATGGACCCAGTCCCAGCAAACCAGAAGAAGGCCTTGGAAGCCACTGAATCAGCAGCTTCAGTGGCTGCTTCCAGAACTCTCAGCCCACAGAGGGTAAAGAGGTTGAACAACCAGTCAGAAGGAGATTACAGTGGTCTCTTTGCTAGCACTGAGGCAGGATTTTGTTCTTTGTCCATGCTTGGATCAGAATCACGGTCCTGGGTAGTGGTCCCAGGGCCAGAAGGAATACTAGCACACCAGAGATTGTGGCCATAGCAGAACACAGACCCTCCTCACAGTCCCGGGCAGAAAAGAGTGCTCACAGACCAGAAAACAAGCCAGGAGAGTAGTAAACACTTCTCCTTAGATCTTATCACCTTGGAAGAATTGAAACCTTACAGGTACCTAGAAATACCTGTCAAAAAAACTGGACAAAACCTGAGAAGATTGGAACGGTGTGCCCTCCACCCTGGAAGCAGAGCTCTACTTTAACAAAGACTTCAAAGTCAAGTGATAGGATGAGAAAGTGAGCAAACAGAGGGGAAAAAAACGCAGATCATAGAATCTTACTTTGGTCACGTGGAAGATCAAAACATACAATCAGAAGAAGACAAAAAAAGTCAAACTTCCTCCATCCAAAGCCCCCGAGAAAAATATGAATTTGTCTCAGGCCACGAAAGAGTTTAGCAAGGATTTTG